CAAATCGAAGACCAACAAACAATAAAAGTGACTTAATTTAATTTTATTTTAAAATCAGTCATATACGCGGACTGATTTCAAAACAGTAGAATATGTCGGCTATTTTCGATATCTATAGAGAGTTAGATAAGTCAGGATGGGAAAATGAGGTAGACATGAAGCAGGATCGAGTTGCATTTTCTAGCTTTAAATTCAGAAAGGGTATTTGAAGGGCAATTATTTAATGTATTACATCCTAATTAAAAAGTCAATCAAAAGAACAATAAAAATTTCGAGGCACTATCATCCTTTAAAATTAATTGTGTGGAGGTATGAGAAAGTGGATGAGAACGATGTGGTATATACGTTGATAGAAAAGTTTAGAAATGAAGAGGTATGAGAAGGATGTGGTGGTGTAGATAGACGTCGATAGAACAGATTAGAAATGGGTAGATATAAGAAAGGATGAGAACGATGTGGTATAGACATTGATAGAAAAGGTTAGAAAAGAGGAGGTATNGAAAATATCTCTTAATAGAGATATTACTTATTACTTGTAAGTTTCAGGTAAATGAAATTCCTGATATTGTTATATTTACAACAAAACAGTAATGATGAAACAAACTAAACGGACATAGTGAGTAAACATCGCAAAAATATAGGTAACTGGACCAAATCGCACATTATTTATCGTTTCAGAGAAAGTTAAGTTTGTTGTTCTCTCATCGACATTTCTTACCTACGTGCAAAATGACATTGCACATGAACATTTACAAATGTACACAGAGTGTTCCAAAAAATCGTGTCGACTCAAGAGTAGATGTAGTAGTAAAAGGTTATCATCCTTAAACAATTTTTTATAAGCATTTAAAATTGGAGTTGGGAGTTTTTTCTGTTTTTGTGTCGAATTCTCTTTCTGTCGAATTTTTCATAGATTTGTGGAATTGTAATAGACCTTCAAATTATTTCAAATTTAAATTAGTTGACTGATTAATGCGTATAACCTTGACTCTCAGAGGTTTCAGTATTATGCCGAAAAAAAATTAACAACATATTTGGAACGTCGTGTATTTCAAAATCCGCTAAAATAATCAAATCGAAGACCAACAAACAATAAAAGTGACTTAATTTAATTTTATTTTAAAATCAGTCATATACGCGGACTGATTTCAAAACAGTAGAATATGTCGGCTATTTTCGATATCTATAGAGAGTTAGATAAGTCAGGATGGGAAAATGAGGTAGACATGAAGCAGGATCGAGTTGCATTTTCTAGCTTTAAATTCAGAAAGGGTATTTGAAGGGCAATTATTTAATGTATTACATCCTAATTAAAAAGTCAATCAAAAGAACAATAAAAATTTCGAGGCACTATCATCCTTTAAAATTAATTGTGTGGAGGTATGAGAAAGTGGATGAGAACGATGTGGTATATACGTTGATAGAAAAGTTTAGAAATGAAGAGGTATGAGAAGGATGTGGTGGTGTAGATAGACGTCGATAGAACAGATTAGAAATGGGTAGATATAAGAAAGGATGAGAACGATGTGGTATAGACATTGATAGAAAAGGTTAGAAAAGAGGAGGTATGAGAAAGAAGGTAAGAGAACGGTGTGGTATAGGCGTTGATAGAAAAGTCTAGAAATGAGGAGGTATGAGAAAGAATATGAGAAGGATGTGGTGGTATAGAGACACGTTGATAGAATAGATGAGAAATGAGTAGATATAAGAAAGGATGAGAACGATGTGGTATAGACGTTGATAGAAAAGGTTGGAAATGAAGAGGTATGAGAAAGAAGGTTAGAGAACGCTGTGGTTATATATGCGTTGAAAGAAAAGGTTAGAGATGAGAAAGAGGATGAGAACAATGTGGTCTAGACGTTGATAGAAAAGGTTAGAAATGAAGAGGTATGAGAAAGAAGTTTACAGAACGATGTGGTAATATACGAGTTGAAAGAGAAGTTTAGAGACGAGAAAGAGGATGAGAACAATGTGGTATAGACGTTGATAGAAAAAGTTAGAAATAAGGACGAATATGAAATAAGGTTAGAGAATGATGTGGTGGTATAGGCGTTGACAGAAAAGGTTAAGAAAGACGATAAGAAGGTTGTGATGGTATAGAGACGTTGATAGAACAGATTAGAAATTAGTAGATATAAGGAAGGATGAGAATGATGTGGTATAGACGTTGATAGAATAGGTTTCTCTTTTATAAAAGAGGAGGTATTAGAAAGAAGGTTAGAGAATGACGTGGTGGTATAGGTGTTAATAGAAAAGGCTAGAAATGAGGAGGTATGAGAAAGAAGATGAGAACGATGTGATATAGATGTTGCTAGAAAAGCTTAAAAACTAAGAGGTATGAGAATAAAGGTTAAAGAACGTTGTGATGGTATAGGCGTTGATAGAAAAGGTTAGGAAACACGTTAAGAAGAATGTGATGGTATAGAGACGTTGATAGAACAGATTAGAAATTAGTAGATATAAGGAAGGATGAGAATGGTGTGGTATAGACGTTGATAGAAAAGGTTTCTCTTTTCTAAAAGAGGAGGTATGAGAAAGAAGGTTAGAGAACGACGTGGTGGTATAGGCGTTGATAGAGAAGGCTAGAAATGAGAAGGTACAAGAGAGAATGAGAAACATGTGATATAGATTTTGATAGAAAAGGTTAAAAATAAAGAGGTATGAGAAAGAAGTTTAAAGAACGATTTGATGGTAGGAATGAGTAGGTATGAGAAAGAGGAGGAGAACGATGTGGTATAGATGTTGATGGAAAATGTTAGAAATAAGTAGGTATAACATAGAGGATGAGAATAAAGATTGCACGAAAAGTCAATAAGGAAAAGAAGATAACGATCCCGAAATAGGAGTAAAGAGCAGTAAAGGAATACTTAGATTTTATGACTATTCTCAAATAATTAAAACTTAATTATAAGTAGAACTAGAATATAGTTTTAAGGAAATGCGAAAACCGTATCAGTCTGGGAAGCAGCTGAGATGCGTATCCTACTACCCTTTGAACTGATGGCACTACGATGCTGAGTTAGTTATGTCACATTAAATAACAATTCTAGTCAATTACCCACGTGTTCTGCCTCAGCGTGGTTGGCTCAGCAGATCAAAACATAGAATATATGGATTTGATGACTGATTTTGGGTCTCTCTATATCTACGTTGTTAAAATATTTTTATACATATGCATTCAATTTCAAGTAAGTTGTTTAGTATAATAATTTGATTTAAACAAAAAAAACACGATCAAAACGCCTGAGATGTGCACGTGTAGGTCACAATTTTGAAATAAGTGTAGGTATTGTTTTGAAACAAATGATAGTATTTGACGTTTTGAAAAAATAAGGAATGTATCGTAAGAACCGTTCTTATCTTGCAGGTCATACGATCAATCAACGACAAACTTTCAAGTTTCTTTTCTTTCTATTGCAACTAACTAATGATGCCCTCCCAAATAAAATCCGTAAGATAAATATGACAATATCAATTTCGGCATGAAGAAAGGGGATGATTTATGATTTTCAGTTGATTTAATGACAGTCTAAAACAACAAATTTCCATGCTATTATAACTTAAGAGATTCTCAAAAAACATGGTTTTGTTAGTTAAGCCGATTTAAGTGAAACAGGGATCATATGTCGCAACATATTTGGGGGTGATTCAGATTGCGGTTAGGACTTCCTCCTCAGATACTATTTCTTGAGACATCCTGTAGTTACTAAGAAATGAAGCGGCCAGGTTGTTATTACATTAAAGGGTCTGAAGGTAATTTCAGAAATAATTAATAATCATCATCATAAGGTCGTCAGTCCTACGACTGGTTGGACACGTACCTCCACTCTTTCCTATCCTGAGCTAAACTTGGCCTTTCTTTTAAAACTAGAACAAGCCTCATCCTTAACTATTTGCGAACCCCTCCTAACTCCTGTTTCTGCCTCTCTGACTAGACCTTCATGCCTGAGAAGGTGTCCTACCAACCTATCTCGTCAATTTTTTATTGACTTTCATAGAGTCCTCTGTTCTCCTATTCTTTATAATACCTCTTCATTTCTATTCACGTTATCCTCATCATTCGCCTATATAAAATAATAAACGTAACGAATTACTTAAAATCACTACTTAATAAAAACAGAGCAATGAAAGCATTTACAGTATTTATGTGGGGTTGTTTTCAAATTAGTGTAGATTAACGGAAAACATCATTAAATTAGCAAATACCAAATTTTTGTTTTCAATCATGTGATTACACGTTCATACATACAGATATCGTTTGATAGAACCACTGAGGTCTTACTAGACCGATTTAAGAGTAGCTACTGTTTGCAAATAACATTTACAGTTTCCAGGTAGAAACAATAGCAGGTAAATTTTATTGTTGCCCTCTTGTATAAGTTTTGGGTCCAACATTAGTATTGCCTGTGTAATTCTTATCAGTGGAAAACAAATTTGAAACGTAAGCTTACTCAAATAAGTTTCACTAAAAGACGTAAGTTCTTCAGCAAATATTTCTATCTTCGGTTATTCACAATACGTAAATATTTGAATAGTAGTAACTTCCTCTTCTTTGTGTATAAACAAAAAATAAAATTAAACGCTATATGGTAAAAGTGGAAACGCATTACGTGCGTTTCCACACGATGGTCATGTCTAAAACATACGTGGAATGAGATCGCTTCGTGCGACTGCATGGGTTCCCCTTGGACCTACGCAGTATTAACTTTTAAAAAACAACCTCCTGTTTCGGGAGCATTGTTTAATATCACATCAACAACAACAATCTGTAGGTACATGCAGTGCATTTTATTGAACATGCACAGCTCGGATGTCCCGTTTCGACGTGTTTTTGTTCCAATTATCCATCGCTTTCGTGGAACGTTCGGTAACGCGCGCACTTTACATCAAAAGCGTCCCCCATATTCCATTGGTTAAGTCACGGAACAGCTGCCGAAGAGGGGGATTCACAAAAGTTATGGACTTTGCCGATGGAGGAATTATTCGATTATTCTCTCTCGTTGGCGTTTGTCGTATCTACATGTAAACTGAACCGGTTCTTTTTGGTACGAAACCTTCACCATCAGTTATTTTATCCAAAGCATCTGTTTTCGAGTAAAAGGTTTTTTTCTTGTCTACCAAATTGTGTTCTTCAATTAAAAGAAGAAATAGTTCAAATTGGAGCGACCGAATTCGACTGATACAAGAAGGAACAAGTTCTTTGCTGTTTAAGAAGACGTAAGAAGTTTGATACTGGAGAAGCCAAAATGGCCTTGTCCATTTTGAGATATGGGGCGAGGTGCTCCTTGAACGGTATCGAAAAATGCACACCAGCCTCGTTCACTGCACTAAAAAATAATATCGAGCAGAAATCTGGACGACCTTCTGTAAGTTCAACCATATTTTATGTGTGCCTGTTATATATTTTGTAGATGCATGAAAATTGGGTTGGGTTTTGGTTGCTTACGTGGTCAAATAATTAATACCTAACGAAAAGTTTTTCGTTATTTTGACGCCATATCTTTCAATATTTTTTATTTTATAACATGTTAAATCCATTTGGTTTTATGCATTATGTACCTGGATATTCAGAGAGTTAGTGGCAATTTGGGTTTGAATGCAAATAAAATCAAGCTAATACATTCGTAAATATTTTTTATTACATTAGAAATCTTACTGCATTTGAGTGTCCACGCGGATGCTATCTCTACCAAATTTTATTTGAATTCTTGCTTGCCTTACATGCGTAGATTTTTATATCTCTGTTTGATAACCCTGACGGTTTTTATCAACCCCAGACGTGTTTGTGGTAAACAGATAGAACGATTGTATAATTTTGTGGGAACATGCGTTATTTCGTATTTTTTGAAACGTTGTGTTTTTATTTCATAATTTTCCAAAAAGAGCAATTGTTTATCTTATTTGTTGCTATACGTTATGTAAGTGTTTAGAATGTTCGTACACACAGTGGGTTTCGTTGGTTTCCTTTGCAACCTTGTACTTCTGGTCGTTGACTCTCGTGTTTACCGTTTCGTATCTTGCCTCCATTTTCGCAAAGCGGCCAACGCAGATCTTTATCCTTTCACTTTGTTGTTTATAATTGCGTTAATATTATAAATAACCGCAACAACAACCTGTTGTAGGACAGAATTACCTACCGATAATTGGCAGTAAATATATGTACTCTTTATAAATTAAAAACATTAACCTACGTAGGGGCTAACTTAGAAATGTAATGAAACGTAATGATGAAGATGCCTCGTAATTGAGTGCGAAACGTACGCACATAAATAAAAAAAAAGCTTTGCCCTGCACAGCCTGATGTTTTACTTTATACAATTGTTTGTGAGGAAGAAATGACAACAAAATAAATATTTTTGTTTATGATTTGTGGCTTCTTCAGAAGTTTATAACTAACACCTGAAGAAACTACAGATTGACGAAACAGTCGACAAGTAAATCTGTTTTGAAATTTGCAATTTATTTTTGATAGCAGCTGTTTACTTTGTTCCTACAATATTACTCATGATTTGGTTTGAGGCAAAATTAACGAATGAAAAATGCTATTAAATATTAATTACATACCCATAACTACCTTGTTCGATGCGCTATTTAACATGTACGTAAACGAGTATTTAAATACATGATTGGACCCACGTTTACTTGTAAGACTGTTTATCTAGGTACCTAATTCAAGGAAATTTTTTGGTTTTATAACAGTTAATTATTTACTTTTTGCTATTACGTGTTCAGTAAATAGAATTCTTCTAACGGTAACGTAAAAATCGTGCCAAGGATTGCAAACGCGAAAGAATATGTAGATGTACTTACTTAAATGAAATTTTAGAAAAAATTTTTTGTATTTTTTATTTTAAATTACTGTCAAAGTTAGAAATTTGATATTCTTTTGGTAGTTTCAGAATGTAATTATTATGAGGAAAATAGAGTGCTTGGATTCTCAGAAGTTGTCTAATCAAATAGACAGTGCCCTTTATTCGGCTTGCTTTGTTCGCAATGTAAATATTGGTGTTTATATTTTTTATCTATTTTTTGTCGTACAATCAGCACTCATTAAGCACTAATTAGGCTGATCCCTGATTGAGTTCATTTGCTAATTATTTGTATATTTTTGATATATACAATTGTATATGGCCTTCTAAAGCTCCCAAAACAGCGTCAAAATTTTCTAACTTTGGTGCTAAATTAACATTCAATTTGCACTAAATTTTCAGCAAAACTTTGCTTACTTTACAGTGTTAGCTTTACATGCGTGATACGATATTTGTTATTATTGATACATAAACCCATCTCTAATAAATCTTACAATGTCAGATCACGATGGCATACATTGAGTACTTCGTTCATGTTGTCTTTTCCTACCTTTCATTGATTATTATGGATTGTTTGAGGTCTAGAACGTGTTCTAGTGCAAACTCTATTTGTTTCTATTACGAAATCATCAGATTCAAAAAATTATCGTTGAATTTTGCGATTAGATAATAGAGCACTAATTGTTTTGAAACACATGTGTTTACAAATTTTGGCGTAACCTTTTTAATTAGTTGTGCTTACGCGGTCAAAATACGTGCCGATGACGGTTTCTAATTTACATTACCATTAGAATTAATTTTTTAACTATTTCCTATGACCTCAAGGATACCAAGCAACAACAAGAGAGTAGTGTTATGGTCAGGTATATTTCGGGCGTACGTGAATGTTGTTACGAATGCATGTAATTAATATTACAAAAAGATATGGCTAATCACACCAACTAATTATTAAGCAATTAAAGTACCAATTTGAAAAAAATTAATTTACGTCAATGTGTTTTAAAGTGACTACTAATTATCGATCGATTATTGAAACTCAAAATAGAAGACATTACTTGAGATTCAATTTTTCTAATTTATTAATTAATTATGCTGCTATTACTTTTAGGCCACTGCTGTTTGAATAATAACAGTAAAAGGTGGCCGGTGAACTTATAAGAATCTGGTCTTTTTTAAAGTAGCTAGGAAATTGTGTGTTCGTATAACCTCAAACTCGGATAGGTTTAGAGTGTTTAAATGATTTAAGTTACCAAGTTTTATCGTAATTAGGTCAGTAGTTTTTGAATTATTGTCGACGAAACAAGTTCCTTATCAAGCAAGGAAAATCAGTTTAAACCGTACTGGAAGAGATGTCATTCGTTCACGGGGACTCTTGTCCAGGTAAAACCACGGTTTACAAGGGTATACCTTCTTTAAGAAAGGTAGGGACTCATTTGAAGACGACCCACGGCCAAGTCGGCCGATCGAGGTGACTACTTTGGAAATCTTTCAAAAAGTCGAAAAATTAATACTGGAAGATGGCAGACTTAAGAAGAAACAGCTCGCAGAAATGGTAGGAGTATCAGATACAACCATTTTTAAAATTCTTCACGATCATCTTGGAATGATTAAAGTCAGCGCAAGATGGGTGTCGAGAATCCGCCTCAAAAACAATGGAGTGTTCTCGCGCGTTTTTGGACCTCTGCAGTGAAGATAAAGATGGAGTATTGACTCGAATTGTTGAGGGCGAAACTTGGGTTCATCATCATGAACCTGAGTCCAAACAGGACTCTATCCAATGGTGCAAAAAAGGCAAACCACCACCCAAGAAGTTTAAGGTGTCGCCTGGGAAAAAACTTTTGGGACTCAGAAGGGATCCTGTTGATCGATTATAAAGATAAAGATGTCTCCATAATCCGAGAATACTATGCTTCAATTTTAGAGCAGTTGAAGGAAGCAGTCAAAGAAAAAAGAAGGAAAATTGACCAAAGGTGTCTTCCTTCTGCGCCAGTTCACAAGAGCCGTGTTGCGATGGCTGCCCTGCAGAAGGTGGACTTCGAAATTTTGGCTCACCCACCCTACAGTCCTGGCCTAGCTTCCAGCGATTATTACCTATTCCCAAACTTGAAAAAAGTCTTCGTGGGAAGAAATTTTCAAGCGACGAAGAAATGAAGGATGTTTCGGCGTACTTTTCAGACAAAGACAAAACACTTTTTTTCGAAAATACGTAACTTAATTGAAAAATCGGAAAAATGTATGTAAGGGTTTTATTATTTCTATATGTGTGTAAATAAATAGTCGTTCGAAAACTAAACGAACATATGTGTATATAGTGGTCGGTATGTATATTTCTACGTTAATTTTACGGACTTAGTTGGGATAGATTTTACCTAATTTGCCCATGTGTTTATACTTTATGCGGGGTGATCGGTCAAGGGGGATCGCATATGCGTGAAACGTATTAAAGTGCACTTGTGCTACTCTGTGTTCTCCAATAGTTGTGCATATTTTAAGGACGTTATAATATTAGTGATTGTTACCTGTGTTACCTGCAAATCAGGGTGAGTTATTCACTGAGTACTTCAAGCATGCTTAGTAATTATTTTACTGATTGTTTTAAATGAAGATGCTGTTGATGATTTATGTTGATATTGAAAGTAACTCATGAGATAATTAGGGACGCTACCTAGACTGTTAAGCTGCGGTGACACAGTCGTTATTTGGGAGCTGAGGTTTGAAAGCGCTGCGGTGCAATGGGGACTGTGGGCTGCGGTTGTACAGTTATCTAACCCATTAATGACCTCAGTCCAGTTTTGGACAGAAAAGTCTGTCATGCAGAGGTAGTGCGGGAAGAGGGTGTTTGCCCTTTCCCAAGATCAGGTTGATACAGCATCAATAAGTGTCAAGTAGTTGATTACAGTAATTTGGCTGCGGTCAATGTATTTATCTTTAGTTGATTATATTGCAACATGGCCTTGTACAGTAAGATGCACGATAAATGCTAAGGAAAGGTATGCTTGAGTGCTCACACATGTTTTCTATATTTGATAAAGGTGCCGTAAGGTGATATTGGCAGTGATATAGCTGGGGATCATCTCTGTGATCGTGTTGGCTTTTGTTTAAGTAAGTGATCGTTTGTTTTATTTGTTGTGTATCTGTTGATTAAGAGATTAGGATGTCTTAAAACAACGCTTAACCATCTTCCTGACGATACTTTATATCTCAATATTGTCCACGCCCCTGTGATGCTACGTTCTTGATTTACGTAGTTTAAGATATCTATTTGATATTCTGTTCAGAATGCTCTTCGAGAGTATATGTTACTTAAGGCCGCTTACATGTATAAGGGTAGCAGATGAATATACCGAAAAGAAAAAATAAATTCGTACTTTTATTTCCACTTGTTACTTCCCATTCCGCGAACCTAAAAACGCCTCCTCGTATAATAAATTAAAACAGCATTTAGAAATTCGAAAAAGATTGCGTATGGTGTATGTCTGGAGTATGGCTACGTAGGGGTACGAAACGTGGACGGTGGGAAACGTTAGAAGCATTCAAAATGTGCTGTTACAGGCGAACGATGAGGATATAATAGATAGAGAAGGTTACAAATGAAGAGATATTAGAAAGAAAGAGAGTGAATATTGGGCGCTGTGGAAGTCAATAAGAAATGGGCAAGATAGGTAGGACACCTTTTCAGACAAGTGTACAATTGAAATTTCAACAAAATCAGAGGCGTGTACACTAATCGAAACATTTACCCGTTTTATTTTTCGGAATCAATGGAGATATTAAAACATTTTCCTTGTAGGTACATTGCCAAGAAGTATCTGGCAGTTTTGCAAAACTTCATTACACAATAACCATCTAGATATCGGAAACCTCTTCCTCGTTATCAAAATTCGTTTCACGGCGCCACATGTGCTCATTGATTAGTATTCAACAACACACCTAACTAAAAACAAGTAGTAAACAGAGACATTTACCATGGCATTTGTTTTTTCAAACGCACACATTTAGATATGTACATACACAGGCAATGAACGTAGGTTTACGTGTCTGTAATGTACATAATTATGTAATGCATGTAACATCGTCTGAATAGATGTCTTGCCCGCATACGCTTGTAATAAATAAAAATAAATTACTGAGAGCAGCCGAGCATCTTCCTGAAAATGAAAGTGATGGTCCCTGATTGTATTACAAAAGATAAACGAACTGTACAGGGTGACCCGTAAAAGTACACGTGGGTCCAAGATTATTGTACTAATCGTTAGTCTTTTTAAATACATATACAGTGTAAACTCTATATAACGACACTTAAGGGACTGAACATTTTTCGGCGTTATAAAGAGTGGTCGTTAAATGGAGAGAAATAAAAGATATTATTTTACTATTCTATAATAATATGCATTTACCAATATAGTACTCATTTTGCACACGAACATTATTATTCATACATTGCGTATAGCCTGTTATCTTCGTCTGATGTTTTTTGCTGCTCCAATATTTTAATTGTATTTTGTTACGTATCTTACTCATATCTTGAGATACTGCTGGATCAATTTGATTATATAAAAAGTATTTTTTTAATAGTTTCGCTGCATCAAGTGCTTGTTTGATGCTTGGTGGAGGGACAGGATCGTCTTCTTCAACAACGTACACAGCTGCAGTTCTTATCTATTTCGGCAACTTAGAAAGTACTGCTCAATGATTTATAATGCCGCATTGTTGTCGTTAAATAGAGTGAGCGTGACGTTATATAGAGTGTAATATTGTATAGAAAACAATGTAAACCAACCAAAGTCAAGCAATTTCGACGTTTTAAGGAGTTTGTCGTTAAATAGAGTGACGTTATAAAGAGTTAACACTGTATATCAAACCAAACATTTTAGTTGGCTATGCAAACTGAGAAGCATTCGCAGGGCTGCCAACTTACTTTTTTGTTTAGTATCATAAAATTACGATAAGAAAAGATAACGCGATCGAATTGAGTGTTGTCATGATCGTGTTTGATAGCACGACCGTTGTATGCGGTTTTGTATAATTTCAATGACCTTTAGGTGCTTCATCCATTACTGTTATGTTGGCGGCATTGCAACATTTGAAGCCAAGTTCAAGAGGGTGACGCAGTGTGCACTTTTAACACAAGAAAAATGTCTTCTATTTCGTGTTTTCATAATTACGATAAAAATATTGTGTCCTAATGGACCACCCTGTATACATATGTCTGCTGAATGCCAGACACGTGTGTAGTATGTCGTAACTTGATGAGACGGAGTTAAGTTTACACGTGCTGCTTGCGTAGATTGATTACATATGTACATATATGATCGAATTGTATGTTAATGAGATAAAAGAACGCGTTGAATTAATACAGAAATTGTACGAACATCTAGATCCCTTTCCTTTATTTTATAACCCTGGACCAGACCGTTGACCTACATTTTGTAATGTTTATTTGATGTAAATAAAACCTTGAAAGATGAACGAACAACTAGCCTCATGTTTCTACTTTTACTATTCTTAGATACTTTAGATAAAAGAGGCCGCTAATAAGTAGCAGAAAGATTCAAGTTTAATACTTTCACAGTTTTTTTTTGGCACAACTAAATTGAAACTCAATAAACAATGTCGATTTTTATGCATTCGTTTGGTCTTAATTATTTTGTAAATATCAAGGTTACGTGTGGCTACTGTTACTTTTACTAGTTTTTGAAGGATTTTCTACATCTTTCTTGATACAATTTTCTAAAATTTTAGCTCAACAATTATACTTAAAAATCCAGCTATATTAAAACCAAATAAAAAATTGTTTTTATACCATAAAAAGATGAAATATGGAGATCAAATCAAGGATTCATATCTGGTTTCTAATTTTATAAATATTACATAACTCCTTATAATGAAGCAATAAAATTAGACCAAAACAAAACAATGACTAACGAACCAATGTAAATATTTACTTTGCTATTTTTTTTAAGGAATACCAAATACTACTTTGCATACCTAAAATGCCAAAATTTGCATATATCTATTATGACTTTACATTAGTCAACCCTGACATAGTTAATCTATTATTTAGCTATTAACCATACCATACAAACTATGATAAACAATTGTTTATTTTTAAGTACACGCGTGGCAACGGTTTTACATTATTATTATTAGTAATTTATTTTTACATTCAGAAATGTTATTCCTTTTTAATTGGACTGTTTTATACCAATTAATGTTAATTTTGAAAATATGTGAGTACCTACCCTCTTTTTACACAATACGTTTAATTTAATTCTCTGTAATTAACAAATCGTTAAATATAATATAAATATCAGACAAGTAATAATTGCAGTGTCTACCTATATTTTTTCGCGTTGTACAGAGAAAACAAAAACAAAATTTAATACGTCGAAATTTTTTTATGGAATCATTAGATTAATTTTGGTCTCAATGTTGATAAACGAACAATAAGGTCAGAATAGGACATAAAACAACAAAATTAATGCACACGACCGATAAAAATGTCTAAATTTTAATTAACGCGAAGATAAACAAACAAAAATAAAAATAATGATGTCACTGTAAATATTGTTAGACTTGTTGCTCGACGTATGATTTACGATTTAGATTTTACCATATTATAATATAGTGTAACATTCCTAGCACGTACCCCTTAAATGCAAAGTTATTTTTTAATTTGAGAAAATTCCAAGTTAAAGAAAATTTCTGGTTCATATTACTTCATTAATGTGCTGTTAATAAATAATTCTTCGAACTCAGTTTATGATGCCACATATTATACAAAAGTACTTCGTCGTGTTGTCTCTTCCTACCTAGTGTTCCTAACCTAATTACCTTTTTTATAAATACCGAAAGTAGAGAATTCAAGGTCTAATTAGTTTCTTTGTATTTCTTCCTATTACCATTGGTAGTAAAATTAGAACAATGTGAATTTAGTGTTTTTTGGTGCTTGAATTCTTTTTATGGTTTTTCACAATAAAATCATTGTTCCTTAATATTATAAGATTTAAATAGCCAATGTTTTAATCAAAAGGAATTTAGACTGCAGTTGGTGAACAAATTTTTGTTTCTTTTTGTAAAATAAACTTGTTTGTTGTAAGTAAATAATCCTTACGACGTTTTACTCTATTTTTATTTTTTTTTTTGTTTCAGTGCGATGGTTCACCGAATTCGAAACCTAATAACACCATTCCCAGCCTTCTCGTAAAAAAACAGCAGCAACACCAGGTGCGTTTTTACAGCAAAAGCCTTGGGACTAGAACCGAAGCCAAACACAAAACGGATTCAGATTATTCGTCTGAAAGTGACGTTGAACGAAGGGGTCATAGGGTAAGTTGGCTCATTATATTCGTAAAGTATATTGTTCGCTTTTTTTGCTATCGAAAATTATGGAGTACTTCGGTGACAGTTAACGAATATTGCAGGAGATAGGATAGGAATGGGTGATAGCTATTTCGATTCCTAGGGACGTTGGAGATGCCTTTATTTTTAACCCCTTATTAACATTAATAACATAAAAAAAATATTGACAGAGTTGATAAACAAAGATCCCAGAGCCTTCACAGATTGTTGTTAAAAAATCGGTTGTCTGTAAAGTCGGTTTACTGACGATAGTTGAACGTGACAACGTCATAAGAAAATACTGATGGAATGGTTTCATTTTTCAAAAGAAAATTTTAATTTTATTTGTTTGATAGATATTTTGTATGGATATAGAGAAGGAGGTAAATGGAAATGTATTATTGTATAGCAGCTGTCCACGCGGACGCATCGCTCACTCAAGTAGGAGAGAGACAGATGTCGAACGCTGCCGAACGCGGAGGCCGATTGTGCCTCTTTGTCGCTCGTTCCGCGCTCTCGCTTGCACTTCAAGCCTTAAATGGAACGCCTCAGAGCGAGGTAACGCCGCATGAGT